GTTAAAGGCAGTTCAGCCGCCTGTTGAAGGAAGACCTCCTGCACTAACTACTTGGGAACGGGAAAGCTGCAGCATTACCAAGGTGTGTGAACCATCAGTAGGTATTTTTGTTCAGAGATCCGCCATGGTTCACCCCAATAGATTGTAGAGCATCACATGTGCTCATACATCTCTTGCTCGGTTCACCATGGCACGATGGCTTCGGGCCGTGTGCTTTTCCCCCCAGGCATGGTGACACCATGCCATCCTCGGGCCGAGTCGACGAAGAACAGATCCACCATGTCTGCAAGTCGGAATCTGAATGAGGTAAAGGACCAGGTTCTACTAGGTCTTTGCGCCTGTTGGAGTAGGTCATTACCAGGTTCCAAAGACTGCAAACCATAGACCATACAGTGAATTACAATAGAATCCCCGATGGTACTGTATACGACTGGGCTTCACTGAGAACTGCTTGGGCACATCCCAACAAAACACTTGTGGCCAGCCAGGTCACCGACCAAAGTCGTTTGGTGACAGAAGCCAACTCCGCCGTGTTGCGCAGCATCTTTGCTGTGCATGAGGACAGGAGAAGCCGGTTGCGCCGCAGATGTCGTGCTTTTGTGGAGACAACCAGACACTCCTTGTCCTTGTATGGCATATTTGGCTATATGATGCTATATGTTTTTTTTTTTTTTTAAGGGGTCAATGTAGTTGGACCACGTGCCACAGATAGCCATAGTGTTTTCTTAATTTTTCATGTTTGTTGCGTCGTTTTTGCTCCCCACACACACACACACATGTTGGAAGATGGGGGATGAGGATGGGTGGGGGGGTAATGAAGTTGTGGTTTTCAAGCATCATTTGATTGTGGGTTTCAACACTCATTTCTCGACGGGGGTAGTGAGGTTTTACTGGTTTCTTTCGCATGAGGGAGTTGTGTCTGAACAGTTTGGTTTCCCTTTGTTTAGTGTTACTGTTGAGACTTTCTGACAATTGATACATCTTGGAGCTTTCAAAGAGTTTCTAGCCCCAATAGCGCCAATGTCCGGGATGACCAAAATGAGGATGGCCACTGGCTGCTAAATCCCTTACTGAAGCAAAAGTGCTTCGAGTGGAGATGGAGACAGAGCATGCATGTTTTTGCAAAACGCCAAATGAATTGCACCACGTGAGTGTGAATCACCAGAATGAGGCAGGGCCGGAAGAAAGCACCAGGGCTCTGCAAGAACGCCGGCCATCAACAGTTGTTGGCATTCGCACAAGTGATCATCTCCTCGAAAGATTGGAAAGGGCAAGGTAAGCAGGGCGCACTGAGCCTTTCGCCTGATTGTGCAGCAGTTCATGTGGCGCAGATCCCCTGGCCAGCCGACAAGCCAATGGTCCTCCTTGATGAACACTACACGTGGCTTCGCCCACTTTCAGAGGGAGAAATTCCTCACCATTGGCTTGCGGATTCTTCTCTTCCCCCGAGGGCTGCTCTTCAGGGCGCGGCCAAAAAAAAGTGCCAATTAATCACTCACTTCCACCGTGATGACTCCCTCTGTTCACCCGAAATCTTCACTGCCGGAGTGTTTGGGCCTGTGTTGGTCAACCAATGTTGCAAGTTGCAAGTCAAAAGACATCAAGAAACTAATTTACTTTTTCAAGGAGTGATCTAGACTTAGCAGTCTTGAGGCTGCATTGCAATGAGTGTGGCTGGAATTGAATATGTGTTCTGATCGTGTTTTAGGGTTCCTCCCAGCTGTTCAAAGCGAATGACAAGGTCTACAGAGAGACAGAGACACAGAGAAAGAGAGAGAGAGAGAAAGAAAAATAACAGTCCTCTTTAGAACTATAGAATTTACTTGCATGAATGAACTTACATATGTTTGCACGGCGCAAATACAGTAACAAGGTTTGAGAGCAGCCTGTGTTCCATGACGTTTCGTTCCATTGGGCAAACGAAAGGCATCGAAAAACGTCGGGCCACATGCTCACATCCATCCTGCGCGGAGGACGACGGCCCTTTGGGAGAACTGGCAAAGTCGAAAGTTTTCATTGAGGCCGGAGCTACAGTTTGAGACCTGGTTGGCGTTTGTGTGACACAAAACAATTGAATTTATTTGTATTCATGGCTCTTGCTTGGACCAAAAATGACGATGCGATGAACCATGAGTGGGTGTTGATGTTCATGTTCATCAATGATCAGCGTGCCATATACCAGCAACCGGCTTTGCATGTTTCTGGAATGGTTTGGTTTCCCAGTCCCAATATTTTCCCACAAACAGGTTGGTGAACAAATCCTGCTATAAATGACGACTGAACATGTTTGCGATATCATCATGTATGACCAATGTGTGGTATGTTGATGATCGTGATGTTAATGTAGATTTGTCAAACACAACGGAGGGACACCCAAGTTCCATTGGGTGTTCATGTTTGTATATGTTTGTATTTGTTGCTAGGTTTGAACATGAGATGGCAAACCTGTGATTTGCAATGTAGGGAGTCCCCAAGTATTTAGTGTTGACGAATTATTGTCTATATTTGGATTGTCCATACTGTGACAGACAACCCATCGCTGCTCTATTGACCCACATCGCATCTATTCCGCACAGAAACCTCCTGGTCAAGCCTTGATGAAATTGGTGTCAAAAGATGTCAACAAAAACATTCACAGAGCATGTGAGTTGAAGGTGGCCATGCCATGGCTCTCCTGCAAGGACGCACGGAATTCTACTAGATCCCCATTGTCCGAATCAACCAACTTTTAGTTCCGTGCTTGGAGCTTCAGAAACTGCGACATGATCAGGAGAGGTTTTGCATTCGCACGCTCAGCTGCCTTTCCAAAACGGCTTGGATGACCCGCAGATTCTGCCCAGGTGGTCCAGCAGATTCTGAACGATGATGTCTACGTGCATCAGCCACTCGTGATCGGTACTCACTCGCACGAGTCGTTTGCGAGTGATTCGCCGTGAGGATGGGACCTGACGTGAGGAGAGTTTTTTGTGTCCGGTTTTTGAGATACCCAGGTCATTTCAAGCTGGCACCGGCTTCATATCATGATTCATCACGTTTTATGTGTGCTTTTAAATCAACACCATTTTTGGTGGGTCCTTCCCTCATGGTCTAAGATCCATTTTTTTTCGTGAGGCGACGTCGGATTTTTGGAGACGTGGGGCGACGCGTGGCGCAGACGTCGACGTAGACGTGCTCGTCGGAGCGAAGAAGCGTCTCATCTCACATGTGATGCACTGAACAATGATCCTACTATATAGGTCCCATAGCGGTTTCAGAGTAGATGGTGCTGGCGCCCCAAGATGACACTTAGATAGGCATACAAACTACCGAACTTGGGGATTGTGCCTACTCTCAATCCACTATAATGGGTGTGGGTCATGGCACCTGGCTACCTGGGTTGACCAGAGAACATGAACAGAAGAGACGACCTACAGGAGGTCAACCTATCCTGGTGAAAGGGGCTTCGAGTGCCATGACCTACAGTTCTACAGCCAAAATGACCACATAAGCACAGATCTTAGACCACGAAGGCTGGTTTTTTCCAACAGCCACAGGTGTGAAGCGGCCACCTAGCTGCTGATGTTTGATGATGTTTGCACACGACCGGAGTCTGTTTGGGCCACCAGTTTGGGCGTTTGGCAACTCCGAATTCGTGGAGCATTCTGCTTTGCCTAATGTGGAAAAAAAGAAGTGAAGCCATCCCCGCTACTAGGAACAAGGGCATCGCTACTAGTAGCAAGAAGCTACTATCTCCTGGCAGTACCTCTAGCAGCATTATCGCTACTAGTAACTAGTAGCAAAGGGCATCGCCGGCATCGCCTTTCTCCGCCGCCAGTAGCTTCGCCATCGGATTTCCACGACTCAGGTCGCGGGTGAATTTGCAAGCGCCCTTCAAGGGCACCGGCTTCTCGTGGCACAGCGACCTGGCCGACCTCCGGGCGACCGACCGAATGGCGCGGGGTAGGACCTCTCTAGTGGTCTATTCGATTCTGTTTCGGGTCAACCAGGTTTTGGCCATTCCAGATCGATGCTTCGCCATTCCATCGATGATGAACTGCAATTCCAGACGATTTGTGCAAACGCCGTGTCCTTTTCTGACGAACTCCGGATGATCTCAGCATATCTCAGCTATGATATGTTGACATGGAAATTCAAACGTCGCCTCCGCGATGCATACAATGCTAATCAATATCTCAATGAAATTCAGATTCCACAGTGACAAATGTGACAACTTATTACTGCTTAACTCCTTTCGTGTTTTCGTTCTGGTGGTGGTGGTGGCGGCGGCGGCGGCGGTGGTGGTTTGGTGTTTTTGCCTTGTTCTGGCGCTTTCTGTTTCCTGTTTTTACGGGATCTTAGCGAAAGGGTGCATGTTCATATTTACATGATTTACATATGGGTCATACAAACCAACACCCCGGTACCCCGGTTTTGACATGAAGGGCTGGGACTCGCGACTCGTGGCGACTCGCGATCGGAGGTCGGGTCCGTTTTGACCCACAGCCATGTGTGTGGAGGTGGATCAGGTCAATCAGATCACGACATGTCCAGACTGCCACCTGTGTTGTTAAAACAGCTTGTCCGTTGTTGTGCTGTGCACATGGGACTGAACGGTCCAAAGAACGCCATTGGGAGCCGGCGTTCTAGAGTGCGAAAGACGATTTTGATGGTTGTTCCACGTTGTTCCCAAGATCTGTAGATCGGTACGACTTTCTAGAACCCATAGACTCGATGACACGGGCCCTGCTCAAAGAGCAGGGGTTTCGTAGGTGGAAATACTGGGATCACTTGGGCGTCCCTCAGTGGTATCGGTATGTGCCATCGACCTGGGACCTGGTGTTCAGATCTGGAAGTTGGCCACCGGCCAAATGGGTTTTCCTAAACCGCCATGTCTGAAGACCTGTGGGGGGGAAGTGGGCGATCCCTTCCCAAGAGGGGAGCTCGATTTCAAGAGACGATGCAACTTGAACCTTGTAAAATTGTGCTGAGGCGATTTTGAAACCTGGCATGCAGAGGACGGAATGCCACGACCGCGCAGCCTGTCAGCGGTCATCTTCCTGGACAAGAATGCCGCTCAGTCAGATCCTGACGATCGACTTACAGAAGTGGCCAGAGTAATTGATGAATCGAGGCCATGCAAAACCCATGAACACCCCTTCACTGCACCTAACAAGTTCAAAGACGTCCACGGTAGCCATTGTTTGGCCACCCAAAGAAAGCAACACTTGGTGGATTTGCCATGACCGTCCAAGCACAAGGACCCACTTCAACAGCCCCAGTACAGCACAAATGCCGCAGCCAAGGCAGAGTACAACGGTGCCTTGATGGTCATCCCAGGCTCTCACCGCAGCTACTTGCGCTGCCCGGGCCGACAAACGGCTGCCAACTGGGAGAAGTCCTTGCAGTCCCAGGTACCTTCGGACACGCCGTGTCCGCGCGGCTCCGTGTCCGCATGTGTGCGCACATGCGTCATTCTGCAAGCAAAAGATACCAAAACAATATGTTTTTGCGAGCTCCACCCAAAGGGGAGGTTATTCGATGGAAAGTACATAGTTTATATATTTGTTTTTAAATAATCATAGTCAGGGTTGTTTGTAGACCACGCTTTGGGTGGCTGGTGAGAGTGTTTTTCATTGTTAATTTTGCAACTGATGCTTCAATCGAAGCTCGGTCATACCGGCTTTCCCTAAAAAATGGAGCTTCCTTGAAGAAGCATGAACTATCCTAGGCTAGGAGCGAGCAAGTTTAATGACTTGATTGAGTCAAGAGTAGGGCTGGGCGGCGGCCACGTGCTTCCACAGACCGATGCCACCGCAGGTCTACGGAACCCCATCGGAGGAACACATCCGAGCTCTGGCAGAATCCTTGGGCATCAAGCATTGCACCGGACATCCCGGGGACGTGGCCTGGCATCCCGGGGACGTGGCCACGAGACAACGGACTTCATTGAGGGGGCAGGGCCCGGCAGGAAGTAAAGGGACAGGGTTTCATGTGTGATTTTGAGGCTGCAGCATGGGTCATATTGAAGGAACATGAAGGAACTGCACGAGGGGGTGTTATATCATATATCTGTCGTTGCATTGATTGGATTGTTTGGCTGGGTGCCTGGGAGGCCAATAATAAGATTCTGCTGCAGCGACTCCATGCTTTCCATTGAACCCTACCATGCCCTACTACAGTGCACGATGTATCATAATATCCCTTAAGTAAATTGTGTGGATATGTCTAGATCGCTTGCCCCTTGGATTGGAGGTTGGCTGCCCCTGTCGGGGCGTGAACCTTCGACGAAACAAACGAGTCCAGAAACCTTCGAACGCAGTCGATCGTTCTTGTCCTAGTTGCGATGCGCTTTGCTCCGTTCGTAGCTTCTTGTTCCTAGTGATGTCAGGAGCTAGTGGTAGCGTCCTTGCGGACTGGACAGAGGAGCATCGACACGTGCGGATGGATCCCGAGATGGGGCTTGGCGTAGAAGCAACGGCGAAAGGATGAGTAGGATGAGTAGAGTCCATCTGCAAAATCGTTGATGTGTGTTTGGTTGGACGGTTCCAGCCTGGATTTAACCCCAGACCGAGTAGATCTGCTAAGTCTTGATGGAGGTCTTCTGAGGTGGTATATACTGAAATTGGTAGAGCCAGGCCAGCCTCTCAAAACTGCGTGCAATCTTAGGCATAAGCAGCATAAATATTAAGCACGCTAAGATCCAGGTTGGATGGTCCCACAACAAAATTCCATGACATGGAATGTTCAAGACCAACAGATGTTCATGAAAACCATTGAACACCCAAACCTCTTCCAGTCCGGTGTGTGTTCCTTTATTAAACATCGACGTGACACACAAATTGCAGATCACAAGTTCTACGCGTCCAGCGCTTTCGCCTCCAATTCGCTCCACTCAGGTTCTCCTCTTCGATTCCAATTTGCTCCACGCATCGAGCGGTGGGAACGACCGGGTGGCCGACGGGGTGGGCGGGCGACGGGACTGACATGCCCCGACATGCCCCAATGTCAGTATGTCATATTTTGCTCTACATTAGGATGGTTTCAGAGATCAATGTTTGCCATGTCACTGACATGGCTTTGAAGAAATCCCATTCGGAAGAGGACGGCTGCGACTGAGAGCTCATGAATCTGAAGGTCAAGAGTCACGTCCCATGAGTTCGGAGTGCAAGAAGGTAAGAATATTGAAAACATGCAATAATTAGACATGGAGATCACTATAGATCACTTGTTGTATGTATATTCTATTGTACTGTGCAATTAATATCAATCAATATTTATATAGTCATAATTGAAGGACCATCGTGCCTGGGTAGTTGTGTGTAACTCCCCGGATGCTGCCCCCTATGTCTTTAGGGGTTGTGGACCACGATGTTACAACTTGAGTTTGGCTCCACTTTTTGCCAATACTACACCAAGTGTCCCTCAATCCTCCAAAAAGAATGCTTGGGCTAAAGATCATCATTTGAGATGTGTGTAACCTCCAGGCTGGATATATGGACCACTGTACGCAGTCATCCCCCCCAAAACGATTTCACCATTGTGCACCAGGCCATGAAGTTCTTGTTAAGCTGATGCACTGTCCAGGCAATCGCTCGCCTTTTCCGCGGCGGAACCTGTTCGTCGCCTTCAATGCGTGGAGCAATCGCCTACAAGCACCCTTTTATTCAGAGGAGTGACGCGTTTTCGATGGTTTCTTCCATCGGCATTTACCAAGCAGGGCCACAGCAGAGCCTGCCCGAAACCACACCACATGGCCAAAAGCTCCTGAGGTTGGGGAGTGAACTGTTTTTTGGGGGGACTATAGACTGCGAGAATCTCCAGGCAATCTTTTAGACGCACATCAACGGTGGCTGTCGAGGAGCAGCGCCCTGAGCATGTCGCGCACCGGGAACGAGTTCAGCGCTTCCAGCGCTGACCGGTTGAAGGCGAGGAAAAGGCCAAGGCAAGCGAGGTGCTCCGAAGAAGGCACGAGCATTTGTCCAAGCCACTGGTGGGACTACACCATCTAATTACAGTACACTCCGAGGAAATGGTCACATGGGAATGGAAAACCACCTGTGTGTAAAGGAATATGGTCGTCCAATGGCTCATTGTTTCAGGGAGTGCATACCAGTCTTTGCTATCTTTGCTCCAATATGTTCCAATGATATGTCCGAGAACTATGAGGTCTAGAAAGAAACTGACATCAAGGAGATCTGATTAGACCTGTTTGATCCTGTTTGTAAAGTCGGGAATTCTTTGTGGCCAAACCAGTTTCTTCTTGATGAGGATGCTCGAGAGCTAGATTTGTTGAGCTATTTAGGCCCGACTTCGACAAGTTTGGTTTGACCACGGCGTGATTGGGTTCTTTTCAACGACATAATTTCCATCAAGAGGCACCTCAGTGTGGTGTTGATGTCACCTCAGATCACAGAAAGTGTGCGACGACATGAATTGACAGCTGTTTTGTTCGCAGAGGGATTGGATATGATTGGATCATGCACAGCCAGAATTGGTTCAACAGCTGAATTGCTTCTTGGCCAGCTCCCACCTGTCCCAATTGTTGTTGTGCTTCAGATGTGTTTGGAAAGGCTTATCACTGAATATACTCCTTCCATCGTGCTAACCTCGACGGACACTGCCTATTTTAGAGCCTTGTTCTCACTTCATTGACTGCTTAATCAACATTTCAATTGAAAAATACGCTTCACGCTCAAACAGCCTCCTTTGGAGATTGCATTCCCCCACCGGGCACACCTGACATCGGCACATCACTCCTCCCACCGTGCGAGTGCGCCATGAGCACTCGCACCGCTGCTGTGCCTGACGACTTCCCCCACTTCGCCGCCTGGTGCGCCGCCCGTGTGCCTGGTGGTGTTGGGCAAACATGGCCTTCATGCTCAGCCGGAAAACATCCAGTGCCGGTCAGAACAAATCACCAAACTTGAGGCCCCAGTGGGTTCTGGACCATTTTGGAAGTGAATGGCATGGCAACACCTCGAAGACGAGTTTCGGAAGACGGTGCAATCAGGTTTTAGGTCCAGGTTTATTCGAGGGAGAAGGCGAACTCCCAAACAGGCCACTGAACAGGATGCAAATCGGGGACACCCCTTCTCGATGCTTGTGCACTTCAGAATCCGATTCCCAGTGCAAAACAAGGTTTAACATGAATTTCCCCATCGATGGAGATGGAGTCTGGCGTTGTTTGCTGCCATGTTGCAGATCCTAAAAGGTTGCATTTAGATGCATTTTGCACATAGTTGCACATTCGAAAACTATCAAAACGTTTGATTTTGTCCATGACCACCTTTCCTGTTGAAGAAACTTTGCTGGGGTGACAAGGGCTTGAGACCTAGCATTCGCATGGGCTTTGGACGCTCCTGCAGTCTTTCCCACCAAACCCTGCCAGGTACGGCCAAATTCCAGGCTTTGAGCATGCACGCGTGCGGAGCAAGGAGTGGTCAGTGATCAATGATGGGTGTTGGGGACCTTAACGAGGCAGCTCACCTCAGGTCCTCATGATGGGCACGTGAAGATCGTGAAGGTTCATGGGATTTCCAGGCTGCCTGGGGGTGGGTTTGTGAATTTGTTCACTTATATACTTGGGGGGATACTCTCCTAACCCACCTAGGTATATACTATTTGTTCACTTACTTGTTCACTTAGGTTTGACCTTTTTGGGGGGGGATACTTTCCTAATCAGGGGAAGCTGGGCGGTTGAGGCTCGATATGTGGTGTGCCGTTGAAGAACTTCCAGCTATAGATGTTCAACCTTTACTTGTGATTTATTGGTTAATCGATGCACCTCAATGAACGTGTGGGGTAAGACCTCATAAACAGGGCCGACCAATGACGGGTCTAAACTTTTCAGAACTGGACAGAAATCAGCCAGACTGTGGCAAGTTCCATGGTTTGGGTGGGAGAACATTGGAGAACATGGGCGGCTATAATATTTACCAACAGCTGTCACCCAGATGTGTGTGTCCATGTTCTACAGTTTTTTCAGAGTAGATGGCACAAACCCCTCCACGTCTTTTAGATGGGGGTCCACATAAATCACCTTCTAAAAATTGTGCCATCTACACTCCATCGCGTGGGACTTCCGCGGCCAGTGTGGCCACGCTTGAGGGGTCTTCGTCCGTCGGCTGCGAGAGGAGTTTCATTGTCGGGATCAAGTCTTTCACATGCGTCAGCTGGTGGATGCCAGGCCAGTCAGTGGACGACAGACCAGACCGTGCCAGATCGCCATTTTCGGCGAGGAGGGAGGAGATAGCCGGTCAGTGAATGGACGTCAATCTGTGTGTGCTGAATGTGTTGGTCATTTGTTTTTTTTGTTGTTGTTGAGCAGCGGCGTTGGTAGCTTGTACCATACCTGTTCGTCCAGGTGATTTCAACTCGATTCAGTCCGCGCGCCGGACCACCCCCCAAAGCTTCTTAACGAAAAGACAACAAGCGGTCATGCGAGACTGGCAAGACATGTACTGAATCGAAGGCTAAGCAGAACTTCTCTCCAACGTGTTTGTGCATAAAAAGTCCAATATCATCTGCATGTGTAAGAGCGGTCGTGTGTTTGAAAAGTCGCATCATATATATGTCTATATAGATCGTGCCGGTTGGCGTGTGCTGTTTGTGGGGGGTCATTTTTTTTGTGAGAATTCTCTGAAGCAATGTGTTCTAGTTATGAGACGAGACCTAACAAAGAAGTGAGCCCAGTGAGGGACCCAAGCAAGGAGGTAACTATGGGATTGTACGTAGGTCAGAAGCCCTTCCAACAGAGAGCATGTTTATGAATTGCCAAAAGTTTTCTGGCCTTGACCAGGGTCCCACCAAGGTCCCCTGGTAGATATGCAATGAACCAAATGATCATTAATTTTACCCTAATGATTAGAACAGAAGAGGCTTGCGCGAACTCTAGCTTTAGCAGGTTTTGTATGATCATAGTGATTTTGAGTGAAGAATATGACGATGATCCTCCTCAAATCAGAGGTGCAGGATGGACCGTGTACACCCCCTGACTTCCTGAGACCTCGATGGGCAAACTCCCAAGAACACCACTTGAGATTTGAGCCAAGAGTCTTGAGGGGGGTGGATGTATTTGTTTGGATTCCCGTACAGAATAGGCCTTCCAAATGTCCTTGATCCAGACAAGTGCAATGCCGTCACGCATGTCTCGTTCAAACGGATTGCACTTGAATCATTTCTATGGCACGCTATACAGAAAACTACTGCAGGCTAAAGTTTGGTGGAACTCACAAAGATGGGTGATCATCTTCATGTGAGAGTCAGTCGTCCAAACACATAACATAATTTAGTAGCATGATGTAAAACAAGGATAGTAGGTAGTCCAAAACCTGCATAATGTTCGCGCCAGGCCGGCGCAAGGTTCTGCGCAAGGGCTACTTGCTAGTTACCAAATGTCTACGAAAACTGTTGTTACTAGCTTGTGCTTTGTGGAGTGAAACTGAAACTTGTGAGGTCTTAACTTTAACCGGTTTAAGACTTTAAGTATGCTTCAGAATCCTTCTTGTCTCCACAATACACGTCTTAAGCTAACTCCTTCGGAATGTGGCCAATACAGGATCAAGCAAGCTCCGCGCAAGCCCGAATGCGCGTCGAACGGGACTGGCTATGTCAACTTCTCTGAGCCAGCTGTTTCGGCCGTGTTGTATTTAAACTTCAATCCGCTTGTGATAGCGGTTTGCACATACACACACCCACGAAAACAGACAAACGAAAACTATCGAAAACTCAAGTGAACAGAAACTGTAGCTTTACTATGTTCGCGCAAGATTCCCCCAAGGCCGGCTTTCAGGATAGTCTTCGGGCAAAGGCATTTTGGACCCCCAAGACGTTCATTTCGCTGGGGACCAACTCCAACACCGAACCCGATGGTTGGACCGAACCGATGGCGCCATCTGCGTCCGCTGCATCGGCGTTTTTTACTACTAGCGTGGCACTTGTTCCTAGTAGCGTCCTTGTTACTACTAGTAAGGCACCTGTTACTACTAGCGTGGCACCTGCTACCACTGCATGGAATAGCTTTGGGATTCCTTAAGCTCCACTTGCTTGTTTGCTTTGTACAGTGATGATGATGTTCCAGGTCCCTCAGATTCTCAGAAGCTCCCTCAGATTTGCTGGAATCTTGAATTCTTTGCCTCAGGTATTACCTCAACTGGCACTATTCAGACTCAGTTCCTTGGTTTGGATGCCAAATGATGGTCCATATTCAAACAAATAGGTACCTCCTGATTCCTCATCCTAGCTTCTTGGACCTTGGGTGGGTGGCCCCATAATGTCGTCCTGAAGAGCATCGGCCACATGCACCCTCAAATACCTTGGCGGCTTTCAAACGGATCGAAACTGGTGCCAGTCTTGGTGGCGGTGGGCTTGAAGTGTTCTTCAGAGCGTCGCTTGGACGTAAACGGGTAAACATTTTCCCAACCAACCAAATGACTATCCTGCATGTTGGGTCAACGGGGGGGGTTAGCCCCGCCCGTAACATGTGGTCTGTTTTTTTCCGGTTTGGGGGGGGGGGGGGGGGGTGGGGTCAGTTTCATCCTGGTTACGACTCGCGTACATCGTCTACGTACTTCATTGGTCCACCCGGTTCTTCTAGGTTCGCTCGGTCACGATTCGTTCGCTGGACGACCCGCTTGTCTCGGCTTACAGGACATGACGGGTTCTACTTTGGAGGTTTGTTTGTGTTTGTCGTTGGTTCTGTTGTTGCGGTTGGTCGGTTTGAGGTGCCCTTCCCCCAATGAGCATTTGAAGGTTTTCTTTACGACCGACCCCTTTCTTTTGGACGCTCACATAGACGTTTGTACCCGTGCCTCAGATCCAACTATCTCTTTTGTGCAGGAGGTTGCATTGTTAAACTGTCGTTCTCGGTTACGGTTTGACCGTCTCCTCACTTTTCGTTTGGTTTTGTTTGATGTT